CGGAAAAAACTTGTAATAACTAGACAGAAAATTCGTCTGTTGGACACACCAGATTTTTCATTTGATATAACTAAAATTAACTAAACTTTTCTGACATTTCGCTATGATTTTTTGTTGTCTTTACATTACCTCATTTTTTGACGACCTCTGGTTGATTTTTTAGTACTATGCACAATTTAGTGCCATATTTTAAAGAGAGTTGAAACACTTTTAAAATGTCATTCATCGTTGCTTATGTTTATTTTGATAAAATAGATAATCAATCTATATAACTATCTACATCATTGATCCTATTAAATCACCTAGCCCGCAGCCATCTTGTTTGTCTGTCCCCGATTTATTAAAACATAAAACCAATGCTATCTTTCTTAATATTTTGATTAAAACATACTTTTTCTTAATAAATATTCTTTGTTGACACAATTATGGAGCAGAAAGTATTTCTTCCTTTTAATTTGCTTCTCACAAATCAATTTAAAAATGTGGTTCATATTCAATTTTAGTTCATGATGTATCTATATTAGAAAATAAATAATTAAATATGCTTATATTTTTAACAGAGGTGTATTTTATTTTGATTGAATGTTTTAAAAAGACAAAATTAATTTCCTAAGCTAGGATTGTGTCAAAAATTCAATTTAACATACCAAAATACATCGGTTCTCTGGAAACGTTCCCAAATTCCCGATAACCGATTTTGGCCAACAAAACTATTTATAAAAGACAATGGACCACTGCTTAAATATGTATATGATCTATCTTTAAAAAGAGAGCTAGTCTTGTAATTAATTGTTATTTATAAAAAAAAGCTTGTACAATCAAATATTAATCACAAATTTGTCAGCACTAATCTGTACATCTTATTCAAGTTTTTGTATTATAATTATTAAAGTGATTTTAATTTTATTGTAATATTTAGTTATGATAGTTTATATAGAGGTCTTAGATTGTGCAGTATGTTTTAAAAGAATTAAAATAACTTCAGGTTTTTTAATTTCAACCAAATTTTTAATCAGATACACCCCTTAACTTCTCTTAAAGCCCTATTAACTTCTCCTAAACCCCCATTAACTCCTCTTAAACCATCCTTAACTTCCCTTAAACCCCCATTAACTTCCCGTAACCCCCCTTAAACCCCCCATTAACGTCCCTCAACCCTCTTAACCCTCCTTAACTCCCCTTAACACTCCATTAAACCCTTTAAACCTCCTTTAGCCCCTAACCCCTCTTATCCATCACAAAACCCCCATATACCAACTTCCTAATTCCCCTTTACCTCCTTACAACCCTCTTATTTACAGTCCCCCTATCATCCCCTAATAACTTAATTATCACTTTTCGTTTTTGATTTATGATTATTTTTTTTAAATTTCAACCCCCTTTGACCCCCATTTTTAATCAGATTTTTTTATATATTCTTTTAAATATTTATCTTTACAAAATACTGTGTAAATATAAAGACTTCTATTGCATTGCACCAAAATTCATAAATAATCCCGACTTATTGATGTAATTTTAATTCTTTATCATACTGTATATCATATAAATTATAATACTATTGTGACCTTCATATTTAAGAATTCATATTATATTATATACACTTAAATTTCATACAAATTTTCTATCATAGGAAAATATTCTCTTAGTATATATATTTGAAACGTTTTTAATTTTTTTTCACATCGTTTGTCGTCCATGGCGATGGAAAATCCACATTTTCCTGTTTATTGTTAACTGTTGAAAATTTCCATCAAAACTATTTTATTATGCTGTGGATCTATACTGTGTTATTGATGAAATTTATTTTTTATAAATCTGTTTTTACATTGTGTCAATTTATTTTAACTTATAAGTATTTACATGTGTTCAGTATATCGTAAGTATTATAATTTTTCATAATTAAAATTTTTTTCAATTTTATTTACTACTGTTGTTCAAACTTATCTAACCACTAGAAAAGTATTTCATTATAAATATTATTCTTATTTAATAGGATCCTCCACTAATTGATGAATTTTTATATTTTTCCTGTAACTGCAGTCTGTTTATTGGTACCATAATAATTTTGAACAGTAGTAAATGTTTTTGAAAATATTTACAGGTATTCCCACCCTTACAAAGCAATTGATGAATTGCCAATTAAAGCAGTGCCTTTAACACTTTTTTTAACCCTATTTATTTATATATTTTAGCTCTCTCTTTCTCTCTATTGTATGAGTTTTTATTTTTTACTATATACCCAAACTAATTAAATAAAATTAAAATAAATTGACCAAATGTACTTTATAAATAAAAACCACGTATTACACTCTAGTCTTTTATAAGTTATAAAAACCTATCTAGTCTCAATTTTATTATACAATCTATAAAATAAAGATCTTGTTTATATAATCTTTTTATTGTTAGTATCTGATATATATTATTATAATTATCATTGTTGTAATCATATACTGACTCCGTATTATAATTGATGCATAAATACGAAAAATGTGTTTAATTTATTATTATTTTCTTCCCATTATTTTGTAACATGCTTCTGGTTTCACCTACAGGAAGTCTGTATGGCGCTAAGGTTGCTCGGGCGCCAGTTTGCTCTGCTACCGGGTCGAAAAAAACTGAAATTAATTCAAAGTAACGATTGAATAATACAGGATTATTAATACGGAAATTTATGATGGGGGTATTTTTATATTTTTCAAAAATGGTTAAAGGTTCTTAACAGTGTAGTAATAACAAATATTAGTTCAGAATTTAGTTACAAAACCCTTCGAGTGTGTGGAAATCGTTTTAAAATGAATGATGAACTGATTTTATGGGCACGATTCAAGGAGGCAGTCCTATGACTGTCATTCAAGGGTCTCCACCCTAGATAATAATTTTCCAATTTAGATTTATCGAGGCGTACCTCTGATAAGATATTTTCCATTTTTAAAAACTGCAACTCAGAAAAAATTGATTTTTCCGACTTAAAACTTGAAAAAATTAGATTATTCCGCCTTAGTACTTGAAAAAAATAGATTATTCCAACGTGCAACTTGGAAAAATTGATTTTTCCTACTTAGAACTAGAAAAATTGATTTTTCGGACTTACTACTCTTAAAAATAGATTATTCCTACTCAGTACTCGAAAAAATAGATTATTCCGATTTGCAACTCGGAAAAATCAATTTTTCTGACTTAGAACTCGGAAAAATTAATTATTCCGACTTGCAACTCGAAAAAATAGATTTTTCCGACTGTGTACTCGAAAAGAATAGATTATTCTGACTTACAATTCGAAAAACTCGATTATTACAACTTAGAACTCCGAAAAATAGATTATATCGATTTAGAACTGAAAAAAAGTCGATTTTTCTGACTCGTAACGCTGAAAAATAGATTATTCCGACTTAGTACTCCAAAAAAATAGATTATTTTGACTTAGTACTTGAAAAAAATAGATTATTCTGTCTTACAACTCGGAAAAATTGATTAGTTTGATCAACTATCGATGTCCACTCCATTAAACTTCTGTTTGGTAAAATCTGGTTACAATATATCATGTGCACAATAATACTTTTGGAGTTATCATATGTTTCTCAAGAGTCACAGAATTTTTCTGACTCACAACTCTGAACAATAGATTATTCCGATTTAGTACTCGAAAAAAATAGATTATTCTGACTTAGTATTCGAAAAAATTGATTTTTCTGACTTAGAGCTGGGAAAAATAGATTATTCCGACGAGCTCGGAAAAATACATTATTCCGACTTTGTAGTCGAAAAGAATAGATTATTCTGACTTGCAATTCGAAAAACTCGATTATTACGACTCTGAAAAATAGATTATTTCGACTTAGTACACGAAAAAAATAGATTATTTGGACTTAGTACTCGAAAAAAATTGTTTATTTCGACTTGCAACTTGGAAAAATAGATTTTACAGATTTAGAACTCGAATAATTTGATTATTCCGGCTTAGTACTCGAAAAAAAGAGATTTTTTTCGATTTCCAACTCGGAAAAATTAATTTTTCTGATTTAGAACTCTGAAAAATAAATTATTTCGACTTGCAACTCGGAAAAATTGATTATTCCGACTTTGTACTCGAAAAACATAGATTATTCTGACTTAGTACTCGAAAAAAATAGATTATTCTGATTAAGTATTCGAAAAAAATAGATTATTCTGTCTTACAACTCGGAAAAATTGATTTTTTTGATTTAGAACTCGGAAAAATAAATTATTCCCTCTTGCAACTCGGATAAATTAATTATTCCGATTTAGTACTCGAAAAAATAGATTATTCCGTTGTGAAACTCGGATAAATTGATTATTCCGATTTGGTATTCGAAAATAATAGATTATTCTGACTTAGTACTCGAAAAAAATAGATTATTCCGACTTGCGACACGGAAAAATTGATTTTTCTGACTTAGAACTCAGAAAATAAATTATTCCGACTTGCAACTCGGCTAAATTAATTATTCCGACTTAGTACTAAAAAAAAAATAGATTATTCCGTCTTGCAACTCGGGTAAATTGATTATTCCGACTTAGTACTCGAAAAAAATAATTATTCTGACTTGCAACTCGGGTAAATTGATTATTCCGACTTAGTACTCGAAAAAAAATAGATCATTCTGACTTCCAATTCGGAAAAATTGATTTTTTTTAAATTAGAACTCAGAAAAAGAGTTATTACCTAGTTGTATAAAGATTATTTGCTGATTTCATAAAATAATAACATCTTGAGGACCTAAGAAGAACAATAAAAAGCTTTCATCATAAATGAGATCTAATGTCCCCCTTGAAAAAGCCCTACCTCATTGACATAAGTCCCTTATTTTTTGTACAGAATACTTAGCAAAAATAGATAAATTTAAGTAATTTTATTAGAAACTCTTGTATATTATATATATTGTATAAAAAAGTACATTGGCAGACTTTTCGTCGAAGTAAATATGAAAAGCATTAAATCTTATAAAAGAACATTAATATTATGAAATAAAACCAATTAATAATCAAAATGTAAATTTTTATTTTCATCACTAGCAATAATAATACCATTACACAATAAATACATAACAATCAAACATCCTCACTGCGAAATGTGAACCCGTACATTGAAAAATGTGTAGTATCAAATTTTAAGGCACATTCATCTAGGATGACTTTCTTTTTTTAATAAGTATATAATAATATAAAACGCTAGTATAACTAGCTTCAAAAATACTCTTGGTAAAGATAATTTACAAACAAATCTACGCTAATGCGACCTTTTAGGTCTAAACTACAATAAAAAAATATCACTTACGTGAAAAAGCTCATGTTTTTTTTAAATATTAATAAAAATTTAATAACAATTTGAGCAAATGAACTAGCTCGTTTTTAATCAAACAAGCCAAGAAAATTATATATAAACTATCTTTTATAACGATCTGTTTTTTTCTCCAATTTATTTATGTCGATCCACCTCGAAGTAATTAATACAGTTGACCTTCAATTAAATCAAAATAATGGTAAAGAATAGTAAAAATTTTTAAACATCTTCATCTACTCTTTCAACCGGTACTATCACACGAAATAAAAAAAAACAAACTAGGCAATTCACGTAAGTGGATTCTAAATACAATATACAACTACTGCACCTAGAATAAAATCACATTTTTATTAAAATACTTTTTTTTAAGCATGAGTGGTAACAACTTCGGGTTCATCGTTTTCTTTTCGTTTTGTCACTGGAAATTCTGCGGGTTGGTCCCAAGGTTGGCGTTCTCCTGAAGCGAAGAACACGTAGAATGTACAACATCCCGCGTACACGCTAGCGGCTGTAATGAATACGGTCCTCCATTTGCTAATACTTGGCTGAAAGGAATAGAAATATTTTTAACCAATGAATGTGAGATAAAATGTGATCAAAACAAGTATCAAGATACGTTTAACTTATAACTACTAGAAAAATAAGTGAATAAAATGTATGTAATCGTTAAAATTCGACTTAAGAGTTGGCACTACCGAAAAAAGCATGTCATATGTCAATTGCTCTTCTGAAAAATAGATTATTCCGACTTAGTGTTAAAAAAAATTTATTATTCCGACTTGTAACTCGGAAACATTGATTTTTCTTACTTAGTATTCGAAAAAAATAGATTATTCCGTTCTTACAACTGGGGAAAATTGATTTTTTGGACTTGGAACTCGAAAAAATAGATTATTCTGACTTAGTACTCGAAAAAAATAGATTATTCTGACTTATTATTCGAAAAAAATGATTTTTCTGACTTAGTACTCGGAAAATAGATTATTCAGACTTAGTACTCTCGAAAAAAATTGATTATTCTGACTTGCAACTCGAAAAAATTGATTATTCCGACTTTGTACTCGAAAATAATAGATTATTCCATCTTGCAACTCGGAAAAATTGATTTTTCTGACTTAAAACTTGGAAAAATGAATTATTCCAACTTGCAGCTCAAAAAAGTTGATTTTTCTGACATAGAACTCAAAAAAATAGATAAATTATTCCGATTTGCAATTCGGAATAATCCTTTTTTAGAGTTGTAAGTCAGAAAAATCGATTTTTCCGAGTTCTGAGTCGGAATAATCTATTTTTACAAGTTGTAAATCGAAATAATCTATTTTTTTGAGTTGTAAACCGATAAAAATTGATTTTTTCGAGTCGTAAGTCGAAGAAATTGATTTTTCCGATTTGTAAATCAGAAAAATCAATTTTTCTGAGTTGTTTGATGGACCTTCTTCGCTTCTGTATGATCCAGTTAAAATAACAAGATTTATAAGACAATTTCCAGCACGTTATAATCCCATATTTATAAAATCAACACCTCATTGCAATTACTTATCAAACTATTGGTAATTTATCATGCAGAAACTCAACAAAGTAAGAGAATATATTATTTTTTAAATTAAACTTATAACATAAATAAAACAGAAACATCTTTCCAAAAAAAAAAACATTATTTAACACAAAAAAAAATCTTACCGTTCCGACTACAACATGGCCGGCATAAATCGGCGCCAGTAAACCAGCGAGATTCGCCATACAATTAGTGAAAGACATTAAAATTCCTGCATATTGAGGCGATATATCCAAATGATTAACTTTAAAACCAGAGTAAATTCCACCATTCAGACCGACTCCCACGCTCAAAATCGCAACTGTCAACCATTTATCGCATCCAGTATAGGAAACTGCTACCAAGGCAACTGCTGGACCATATTGACCTACATTGTGAAAAAAGTGTTACAATTTGCACGCTTTAAACACTATCAAATAGTGGTGACTATTCAGTGAATTGTAGTAGAAAATGTTAACTATATTTTTTTCTCGTTTTGACAAAAAATTAAATTAAAAAAAATGTTTAAAATAAAATTTCAAATAAGGAATTTCTATAATTTGGTTTTAAGCTTTTTTTATTTTCATCTATCCATTAATGAAAGACAATCGCTTAAAGGTGTTTTTTTTTCTGAAATCAACCTTTTCTTTTCTATTTTTCATATCCTAAACATAAATCTATTACAACTCGTAATCAATCCAAAATAACTTACCAATTCCATTGATAAGTTTTCTGACGATGGTATGAGTGAAATAAGGCTTCGTGAGTAGAAAATCTGCAACGTGGCTAATAAAGATGGAGAAAATCCACATGGCCAAATAAGGAAGAGCTGATAAAACTCCATTCTAAAAGAAAATTCATGCAATCATTAACCAACGAACGAATAAATTCAAAAAAATAACAATCAGATCTCGGGGTATAAAGTTGAAGACTTTCAAAAATGCCCAAAGTGAGTTAATTGTAATAATTAGTAGTCAATTGGTGTATTTACTAGCACAAATGGTGTAATAATACACAAACTGATAAATATACAGCGTTTCATAAGGTCTATAAAGACTGACATAAAAATGTCTGCAAATAATTTTCATATAATAATGTTTGAAGAACCAGTATCAAATAATACACTTAATCTTAAATTTTTAAAATATTCGATTTAAAGAAACAAACAAATTTAGAATATTTTTAAGAACACTTTTACAATTTAATCCATGGCTTTATTATAAAAAAAATAATTTATACACACTAGGGATATCAAAATTTAAATCAATATTGTTTATTATTTAATAAAAACTTACATCTTTAATACTAAAATGGTGAACTTGCTTCATGTACGTTGGTAACTCGGTCATAAGCGTTTCATAACCATAATTATGCCCCATATGGGCTAATAATATCGCGTAGAATGGTAAAGATTTGGCGATGGAGGACCATGGTATCGGTGGAATCTATTAAAAAATAAATAGGTATTAATATCGTGTAAGAATTACAAATACGTTGAAGTTGGATTATTAATATTTAAGTCTGTCAAAGGGGCGGCGGTAGAAGCATTAAAATGTCTTATTTATTCGTCATAAGAGTCATATTTCTTAGGTTATGATTATTTATTAAGTTTCTAAGACGACGTGGCCTAAAAAATAAGTGACTTTCTTTTGGTTCGGTTTCCTGAACAAAATGTTAATTTTACTTGTGTTTAAGTTCTTAAAAATATCGAGCTTGAGGTTCTTTGAAAAGTTTTAATACGTACCGGTAGACCAACTTTACTTCCCAACTCTTTTTGTATATACAATCGTTCTTCTACTTTGATTTTGAGGTCGCTTTCGGGATCTTCACGGACGATTAATAAGAAGAATACGCACCAAACGGTGCCCACTGAGCCAAATACGTAAAATATAGACGGCCAGCCGTATCGGCATTCTGACAAAAGACCGCTGAGAGGCATCGATATCACAGTTCCAAATTGTGCTCCTATAAAAAAAAATAATACAATAATATTGTCTATTCTTTTTATAAAAAAAACTTTAATTTATACTATTTAAAAGAGGCAGGTAAACGTAAAATATATCACTTATAATTATTTTTGTTTACATAAATGAAAGGAAATAGATTATTATCAGATACTTCTTTCAATTACAATTTTTTAAACAAAAATATTTATTACCTACCATTTTAAAGAAACCATAAATTATACAAACGCTAATTTAAACCTCGGCTTGAATAAATATGTAATTATATATCAATCAATTAAATAGATTAATGTTATTTACGTTGCTATATAATTTAGAATTTAATTTACAAATTGATAGACATTGATAGGATGTGTTTATATGGCCTAGAAGCAATACAAAATATTATAAAAAGAATAGGAATGTAATGCGCTTTAAAAAAAGTGAAAAAGGATTTAAGGGTAAAATGTCATACACAACCGGTTGCAAGCTAATGAATCGTTAAATTGTCTCCTAAATGGTAAATTTGGCAACAGCGCTCTTTTCCAAATAACAGTACGAAATAAATTATGACAATACTCGAGATATGGCCCTGTCAAATTATCTTTGTCATTGTCGACCACATACTTTGATTTTCTTTTACTATACGGAGAATGGTCGCACTGTGCAGCTTTCTGAGTGCCTTTTAAAAGGAGATATAAAACTCCGCCATTTTGAACCCTTATTACGTGTTGCCTACATCTTGGCGCAATATTTTTAATAGGTGCGTTTTAATCATCCACTTCTGCTTCGGAATTGTCGGTTTTCTTGTTTTAATCTGACAGGTTAAAACGACTAAACCGACAATTCCGGAAGCAGAAGCGGATGATTAAAACGCACCTGATATTTTGCTTGCTGCTGTCAGTGTCAGTGAATATTATTTTTGAAGTCACAGTTTATTGCTAAAGAATCAGTTAGCTCACTCGGACCAGTTGAAAGTTCCAAAATAACATCCACTCCAGGGATACAAATTCAGGATACGCAGATGACTGCTGTTTTACTAAGGTACATGCAGGTAATATCGCCATCTTAAGGTTCTACTGTAATTTGGACAAAGCAACATGACTAAAAACCAAATAACTTTTACAGGTGTTTTTCCGTTGATATAAGCAACAATTTTAACATTAACTAAACTGTTTTTGTTTTCCTTTTAAAAGGGTTAAGCACTTATAAAAAAAATATTGTCCATTGGCGGTATTACCAACCCCCCGTTGGTAATAACGCCAAGTTGTTGATCTAATTGTTTAAGTATAGAAACTAATCGAAGGAATAAAAAATACAAATAATAATAAACATATAAGACATTTTCAAACATTTATTAATTTCTAAGAGCAATATGGACAAATATAAGGAACAATTTTGTCAGATTTGGTTAAACCAATACACTCATCATGAAGGTAGGAATTGCAAGCACTGCATAGGCGCATATCGGCTACTCTATCCTCTTTGCAGGCTTTGCAAAACCAACTTTCCTTATCACATGTTTTTTTGTGATCAATCTTTCGATTCGAGGGTTTGTTTTTTTTTTTCGTTTCGTAGTGAGCTAAAAAGGTCTTTCTTTAGAACCTGTGATCTGCTATTAATTGCTGGATTCCTTCTAGGTTTAGTAGATTTTTGTGAGAAATCTGGTGTCGGTAGCATCTCGGAAAAGGAAGTTGTGCCTAGGTTGTTTGTATTTTCAGATTCGCTCTCTTCGTTTTCACTTTCTTCAGATGAGTCAAAGTTACTTACACTGATATCATCTGAATCATTACTACTTTCGGATAACTCCCTCGCAATACGTTTTTTAGTTGGATTTTTTTTGACCTGGACCATTTTTGAGGTGCTGGCTTGGGGACTACTGTGTTTTGGTGGTTGGATAGCTTCGGATAGACTTTCAGGTGGTTGAATTTTCTCAATATCTTCCGTTAAATTTTTATTCTCAGTAATGCTGCTTGGAGCAAAAGCTTCGACTGGTATGACATCTTGATTAAATGGGTAGATTCCTGTTGCTTGGAAACCTGACTTTATATTAGCAGGTGTTAGAGATTTATCCCATACTTCAGAAAAAATAGCTCCAAAACGTTGCTTGGTTATTGAACGATCTATATTTTTGGTCCAGTATTTTAAGACCTCATCATCCCAATAGTGTTCAAAAGAACGAAACACTGCTTTATCCATGGGTTGTAATTCATGGGTGGTGTTACTTGGTAAGCAATATAATGTTATGTTGAGCTCATCTGCTACTTGAACAATTGAATAATCCAAATGTGAAGATGCACCATCAAAAATCAGGAGACAAGGGCCAGGTGCTTTATATTTTGAAAAATGTTTCAGCCACACTTTAAAACTTTCAATTGTCATGCTGCCTTTTGGGGTCATTAAAGCGATACATCCTGGAGGAAACTGGTCTGTCCATTCTGGTTTTAATCGTTTCCCTTTAAATAAAATTACAGGTGGTATGACAGAGCCTATTGCATTAGCACATGACACAACGGTGACATTTTGTGCATGTTCATTTGCAACCACATGAACTCGTCTAGCTCCTTTTTTCGCTAATACAGACTGCTGATGATGTAGAGTTAGGCGACATCCTTTCTCGTCCATATTGTATATGCATTGGGGTTTATTCATTATTTCTAATGTCTGCATAATATCTTTCAGTTTGTTAAAATGATCATTAACTATGAACTTATTAAGTTTTTGAGCTCTTGCAGGATTTAGGTTTTGAGCTTTACGATTTCGAATTTAGTCATGTCGTTTTAAAAATCCTTTGAGCCAATAACGTCCTGCCATTTTTGATGTCTCAGAAAACGGGGTTTTAATTTGATTCCGTTATGCAAAAATTGTACACGCATCTCCTAAGTACCCTCGATGTTAAGGGATATCCAATTTCGGCTAGACGTATTATTCTTTGACATAAGTTCGATTCTTCATCAGAATTAAGTATGCACTTACGTCCCATGGGAAGTTTAACTGCTACATTTTTCTTTATATAATCTCTTAATGTTCTTCGTGGAATTGCAAAGTTGATACTTGCTTTATTTACGGAGTAACCATTTCTGATGGCAGTTAGAGCATTTTGCATGTTGTCTGCATTCCATTTTCCTCTCAATCCCTTGCTTTTGTATTTTGGCATGGTGAAAAATCTGTAAAAAAACCGTTACTTTATATCAACCCGATGCAGGTAATAACGCCATGGCGTTATTGCTCTTCAAGTGTATTGGCGATATTACCAACAACCACGTGTTCAAATATTTTCCCCAAATTTAACCCTAAAAATGTTTTATTTGACTGGTTGAATTACATAGCCTCCAGTATATAACATATATTTTATAACTAACCCGACAAAAAAACAAATACTCACCAAAAAACTGTCCTTACCGGCAAAACAATTCACTAAAGAATAAATAAAATACGTTCGCGCCTAACGTTCTGTTTAAATACATGAACCATACGACGTACAATCATCAACTGACGCTTTTCATGGTAGAAGATCTTATTTGTAGAATAACCTCATTATATTCTCAGCGCCATCTATTATTTAAAGGTTATAGTTTTTTAAGAAATCTAAATTGGCGTTATTACCAACTTGGCGTTATTACCTGCATGTACCTTATAGGCGGTTGTCATATATTGTATTATCCGAGTTGCACAGTGTATAAACTGAAACATTGAGATCAAAAGTGCCGGCGCAGAGTGAGCGATCTAATTCTTTAGCTGTAAACTGTGTCACAGGGTTAAAAATGGCCGCGCCCTATGTTGGGCGTGTCGGACCTCTCTCTTGCCTCGTATAGTAATCAAAGTATGTGTTGTCGACCCATTTAACAGAACACAGTGCAAGTGAACACAAACGATGTTTTCGTGATCAGCGCAAAATTTGTCATAATTATCGTCGCTTCGCGTTACAACACCTACAAAGAGGTGGTCCCATACAGAGATAACAGAGATATAAGAAGTCATTCATAAAATATAATATTCATGGTGCCAAGAACAGTTCGCACTCAAAACATTCTATTTCTAGACGCGGGGCGAGGCGACGAAAGGTGAGAAGTAAAAGAAGGGATACAGTGAAGAATTTTACATAGTTTTATCAATGAATAACTGCCCGAGCTTTTACTACTTAACGTAACTTTTCTTGCCGGTGTAAGCCCTGTTGCCACTTCCAATCTAACATCACTAGGTTTTGGAATTTGTTGAAAATTATTACATCTAATTTAATGAAATTACATCTAATTTGGTTAAAAATGCCTATTTTTTGTTCTAATGCTCAATTAAGTCTTTGTAGGAAGTATTTTTTTGTAATTATTAAAAAAAAATCATTTACATTAGCCCTTATGATCGAAAAAAAATTTAAATGTCTCAGTTTCAACCGTCTACAAATTTGTATAAAAAATCTTCTTTTAGAAATATACCTCTCATTTGACGAAAAACGAAGGCCTAAATGAAAAAAAACTATTCTTTATAAAAGTTTCGCCTATGTATTGACAAGGTAAAAGTACTTTCCTCATATTTGTTGCTTTTAAATTAACAAAAATATAGCAATAAACCATTAGTGATGTCATGGTTTTACTAGAAAGCAAACATTAAAGGCAGAGCATATCGACTCTTTATGCATCTATCTCAGTATTGAAATGTATGCAATCAGTTTGACCCCTCTTATATTATTTTATACAGGGATTATTGATTTATCCACCATGTTTAATAGGGTGTACTAATTACTTCAAGATTTCTTTTTTATTTTTAATGTAAAATGAAAATAAGAAAATATAAACTATTTATTAAAGGTATTTATTGAAGTATCAATTATAAACAGTAAGGCTATTGCTTTGCAAAATACAATAAATCCCCAATATAAATAAATTATAATAATAATATTAATAATAATTGGAAGGAAGTATATAAAGCATAAATTAATAATATTAAAATTTATAATTACAAGACTTTCAAACTAATCAGAATCAGATTCACCACACAAATCAACATTTTCCAAAACATTAGCGG